ATGGTCCTGACAAAGTGTTGTTATTTTTCGGGTCAATCAGAAATACAATTTGGCTGCCATGGCCGCTATTTTGCTACTAAGTTCTAATAGGCCGATCTCACTTAAAATTGGTCTAGGAATGATCAGCTCATGGTCCTGACAAAGTTAAGTTAACATTATACTATTTTTTACTCAAATTGGTACATATTTCAACAACAAAAATAAATATTGTAGGACTCAGTTGACCGTTAAGGCCCATGGGCCTCTTGTTTAAGATGTCATCAATTTCATATGTGTGTTGCGGAACTGGACTGGGTCGATCGTCTGTGACCAGGTAGCTCAATTGGTAGAGCGTCAGTCAAGAGTTCGGACGGTCCTGAGTTAGAACCTCGGTCTTGCCGTGCATTTTTCCTGTCCTGTTACAGTGGTGCCTGTGACCAACCCTTGTTTCAAGCATTTGGTGTATGCTTGGCAAGGGATACCGAACATGGGTTGTAAATAGGTGTGTCTTGGGGGGCGAAGACTTAGAAAAAGGAAGGAAGGAATGTAGTGGAACTGGACTGGGTCGATCGTCGGCAAACAGGTAGCTCAATTGGTAGAGCATCTGGGTTCATACCCTGGTCTGGCCGTGCATTTTTCCTCTCATGTGTATTCTGTTGACCACTTCTATTGTGATGTCAGGGTTTGATAAAATCATTGAACATACTGATATCCTTGTATATTATATATATTTCACAAATATAGAGTGTAAACCTATTTATTTTAGCAGAAATCTTATTTTGGAGCGTTTTACATGTTTTCTGAAGTACTTTTGTATCAGGAAAGCAATCAGATGTACCATTAAACACAAAAATAAGAGTGTGCATATATAAGTATGTTTACAGAAAGTAAGACAAAAAATCATAACCTGCATGACTTTCTTCAGCTGTTATATACATACACATAAAGTTATACGTTGATTAATCTTGCTGTCCAGTAATTAAAGAGTGCAGATTCTGAAGAAATGGAGTAGGAAATTTCCAGAAATTTATTTACGTGTAATCATGCAGGTTACATAATATAAATGCAACCAACACATGTTGCTGTAAAAACATTTGAATCAGTGATATAAACAGCATACATTTTGGAAATATGTCTGTGTAAAATGTTCACGATGTACACATGTCACAATTTTCTTTTCAAATGAAAGTCTGCAATATTGTGTGGGAATCTTCTGATAGAACTTTTAATTTAAAATTGTCTTAAATATAATCACCAGCTTGTCTAGACATTGTGGATTTTGAGTGTAATTAACTTGAGATAAACATAACGAGCAGAGTTAAAGGTGTAGATGAAACGCTATTAAAGGGAGCTAATTACATTATTATCACACGTCTTCTTCAAACGACAGATCAACATTTTTAGGATGCCCGTACCACTGCCAAAAACTGAGCCTAAGAATTAGAAACTTTTTTCACTTGCATGATAGCTGTTTTAATCAATTGAAAAAAAATCTGGAAAAAACAACCTGTGAAAATTTTATTAAAAAAACCCATTAAAGATAAAATAATCAAAAATAGTTCCAACAGCAGTGTTTTGAGTGTTAAAAGGCAATGGAACCTGGCTGGGATTTGAACCCTGGATCTCTGATCACAGTACTATTACTCCGCCTGAGCCTAAGACCCAAGGCAGTATGAAGGGGAGGTTACTCTATGCATGAAAAACTACAGTGGAGCTCTCTAGTGTTTTGTCTGCAGTGGGACAGGAACCTTTAATAAGAAAATAATTACCTCCTTTTTAGTATCACAGGTTTATGGTTTGTTCTAGCATCATATAAAAAGTGTTGTAAACCAAGGAAATGGTTCTTATGAATATTCATTGAATGAAAAATCATTATGTAAACACGTCTTAAATAAATTCACAGGCATGAAACACTCATGATCAATGAAGCACACAAAACTGATAAACAAACAACCCTCCTTAAATTTTACACTGACTTGTTAAATTTGTGATAAAAGAAGTCCAAGGTCATGCTAGTAAATACCGGTAATTTGATAAATAAATTTAATCAATTTTAATGAAAGTTTCATAACACTGCTCTGATTCTGGTAACTAGCTTCATCTTGTTTTAACCCTATAGGTACACTCGAGTCTCAAATAACAGAACTCTGAAGTTTGATGCCAAAAACTTCCTCCCGATGGCGTGCTGTATCCTTAAGATGTATCCCAATAACAACCCTCTCCTTTCCCCATTTCAGCTAATTCCTCATTTAGGTACCATTAGACAAATTGAATATCTCAGCAAGGCAGCAACTAAGATCCTGTTTTGAGAGAAATGGTTGTATAATTGCACAATCTGGGCATCTCTGGTGGAGATCGTAATGCTTAAATAGCCAGGTGCCTGCAGGGAAAACATTTTTAATTTGAAAATATCTAATTAAAATTTCTGCTTGTTTCGAGTGATTATAATGATTAAGTGGTGAGTACCCACCATGTCTGACACCAAAACACATCAACTAGAAGCCACAGCTGGTGGAATGTGGGTCCAATACCGAACATAACAACTTAATTGGCCACTGGCTGGTCGGTCTCATACCAAACATATCGATTAAAAGTCACTGGCTGGTCGTTCTCATACCAAACATATCAATTAAAAGTCACTGGCTGGTCGGTCTCATACCAAACATATCGATT